AGCAAGACAGAGACAGCTTCAGAAACGGGGAACAACCTGAGTGTCCAGCCAAGTGCACGTATGGTTATAAGATATCTAGGAGGTAGAGTGATTGCTGGGAGAGGACGTCTGGGAGTTAGGAGTGTGACTGTCGGGACCTTGACAAAGCAGTATCCCGCTGCGTGCAGCCATCCATCAGGCAAGTGCCTAGGGTCGTCTCTGACAGAGGAAATCTTAAGTCTACTACAATGTGCAATGCCCTGTCCAAATAATGCTTGATATTGTTTACAAATAACAAACTAAGGTAGAAAGTGATGGGCGCTGGGAATTCCTCCATCTAAAAGAAAAATATTTATTTCTTATTTACAGAAAAATTCCACTTTTCTTGTAATTCTTGAAAAAAAGAACAGAAGATTAAGGTGCAATGGAAGGCTGATGGAGCGGAGAAAGTCACTGGAGTATATTCTCCCGGGCTTATTTCATATTTGTTTTCTTTCCTCTGTCATTACACTCTGTCCGATGTACAGTGTCACAGGGATGAGAGGCTGACATTCTGAGCAGAGCAATGACACTTTGCAGACTTGCAGAAAGAAGTCTTGCCTCCAGCAAAGAAACGCAACTGGCCAAATCCTATTATGAATAATACTGCTGTGCCGCAGTTTCTGCTTCCAGGACAGAAACAGGAAGAGCTGGTCTCCAGGAAATGCCTACGAAATGATGCTTATAAATTTTGCACAGTAGCATCTTAGCAGTTGAATCTCCTCAAGGTCTAACAACTGGTACTGAAAATAATACTCACAAGTTGTTCCAAGCTCTTTTCTTCTCCTTTATCAAGGAACAGCTCTTGCCCAGTGTATGAGAACACTAAAACCAGCTTTTCAGCTAGAAGTTATTGCAAAGCCACTCTGTGTTCAGGATTGCATTTTATTATTTCCATTGTTTGAAAGTGGAATTTCTTCTGTATATTCAACCCCCAGGGCAGTACCACACTGTGACGCTTTGGGAAAATGAGCGTAACTGATCCTCAGATACGCTGAAGCAGCATTCAGTGCTGATGGCTTGTAGGGAACAACTCCATCAATCCTTTCCACTTCCCTGATCCTAAGGTCAGCAGGAGCTAATTCAGACCTTGGTTTAAATAAAGCTACCTGAGACCAGTTCTACGTTATACTGGGAATAAAGGTCCCAAGGGCTCCCCAGCACAGCGTGAGTGCACCGATACGCTGGGTAGAGGCAGGAGAAGCTGACAAGAGAGCTGCTTAGCAATGCTGGGCAGCTGAGGAGGGCTGACTGCTTTTACTCCTCTGTTCCAGCGTATCAAAAATGAAGATCACAGAGCAGGGATAAGCATTTAACAGCTCTTAAAACTGCTGCTATCTGGGTTGGGGTTTTTTTGTTTTTTCCTCCTGTGTAAGTCTCCCTGAAGTTGGAAAATGGGCTATGGATGCAATTATCAAGCATATGTTACCAAAAGTGTTAAAAAAGACAATGTAGATACTGTCATGGTACATGAATGGAAAGCTGTATTTTATAAATCTTACATGGAAAAATGGCTTTTCAGGTTGTTATGATCCAGAATGGGATAAAATATGTGCTTACATTATTAATTCCAAATGGCTGGCAAAAGAATTCTCCACCAATTGAATTTTACAGCCTGCACTGTATTTCAATCCACCAATAACATATAAGTTAAAAATATGCAACCAATCAAAATTTCTGAGAAACCAGAATCTGAAACACGATGCATTTCACATTTCCAGCTCTGATGTGGTATATGTTGGACTCTGGATGCAAGTGACATATTGATGAACATACAAAGTAAAATCTGTAATTCCATCTCAACTGCTCAGGACTTGTGGTCTGGTTTATACTGCAGATAAAATTTGATCAGGAGAGAATCCAAGACGACTTGCATGGAAATTACTTCTAATCTCTCTTTCATTGACTGCACTACTATGCAATTCCTACTTGCCCAAAATTCAGCAGCTGTCAGGAGAGGCTTGCATAAAGACTGCAGGATAGGGACCAAACCTGGGAAAAACTACTAGTACAATGAGAAATACTAATTGACTAAAACAGTAACTCCCACAGGGTATGGCAAAGCTCCCTTTGGAGGCAGCGAAGCACAAAAAAGCCAGATGTTCTCATACGGTAGCGTGAGGCACCTTGAACTCTGGAACTGTACATGCTTAGTCACATGTAGACTGTAAGTACTCTGCCTACAGTCCTGATCCTGTCTGTTCCCTGAAGCATGACATACACAAAATATTCTCCATGAAGTACTATTCAGTCCTCCGATTAGGATATTCTCTGTGTGCTGTGGAACACGAGGATGGTCCATGCACCTGGAGAAGGTGGTCCCTAAACCAAGCAGTCTCAGCCCGTACACTGATTGCCACAAGCTTAAACGACATCCTACAAGTATTTTGCTGTACATATCTTCACAGATGGTGTAGATTTTCTGGAGATGTGATTTTTAATAGATATGTTTAACAGATCCAAACCCAGCATTGCAACTCTGTATCAAGGAACCATAGGCTTGTGCATTTGTGTGCAGTGTTACTAAGGCCACAACCACAGTGAAACAGTGGTAGGAAATGAGTGCCTTCAAGGGGTCAATGCAATCGCAAGGGAGTTCAGGTCTTCATGGTGCTCAAGAGCTGTTGTCACAACTGCAGACAACTGTTAGGTCTTCCACTGTAACCAGGCAAGTTCTTGACAGAGAAAGAGCCATGAACAGTCATCTTTCCACATTGCATTGCTTACCGGTCAGGAAGGATTCCTTTGTTTGATTTCATCCCCAGGGAAGTCTGCAGCAGCTTTACTACAGCTAACCATCACCTGTCCTTCAGCTCAGAGGTCTGAAGTGGAGACATCAAACAGAAAAAACAGAAGAGACAAAATTAGGATCATTATAGCAGAGTTATGCTAGATCACATCACCAACCATATACTGGAGGGATCACCATAAAATGCTTTTACACACCTGAGAAAGACCCCAGGACATCAAGGACCTACCGACAGCCATGAAGGGTGTCAGCAATGTGCCAACTACATCTCTCTTAGCACCGATTTTCATTGCAAAGTAAGGCAATAAGGCAGCCATGTAAGTGAAATATTGAAAGGTGAGTCCTAAATGAACCGAACAAAGAGCTCCAAAGGAGAAGACAATGTTTTTGCCAGTTATCCATCTGATCTTTTTAATTTCATAGGAGGATGGGAGAGAAAAAAGGTGATTTCATGTTCTCTTACCTTTCAATTGAATCAGAATTTGTATTCTGCTCAGGTGCTAGTTTTGCATAACTCAGGGGCAGATTTAGACCCACAACTGGGCCTACAGTACTGAGCCACAATATAATGTAATTTGTGTGTCTAAGGGAAAAAAAAAAACCAACAAAAAAGCACCATAAACATATTATCCCAACTTTTCTGAATTGCAGACACACTTGCAGTCATAAAATAACTTCAGATGGGGCTATTCTTTCACTTTATCTGTATCAAATATATTCTAACTTTCAGCCCTTAGGTGAGAATCCAGAATCTTATTCTATTTGTACCAAAGAAGCTGTTTTGACCATTTACCCTTCCCGGCTGATTTACTTTATCTATGTTGCATAAAGCCTTGCAAGGCACATTACTGTTTCTCACCTCTTCTGTTTCCGTGAACCAGTCAGTATAGAAGACATGAATTCATTTGTCCGGCAGGGGTGCAGAACAAAAAATGGCTGCCCAAGTAAGGGGTGCTCCTAAGAGGGAATAGCAGTTGTTTTATTATGCAAGGAGAAAACAGAAAAGACACGATCTGCATTTGGAAAGGCAAAGCAGGGGCCAATTAATCCTTGATGCAACTTTTCTCATTTCAGAATCTAAGCCACATTGCTATTCCACTGATAGACATTGACAAATGAGCACCTGAGACCATGTTCCCCTATCTTAAAAGGTAAGTAAGATCACCAACCAGGCTACGCCACCATTTTAGTTAAAATGCAATGGTTTTCAAAAGTAACTCAAGTTACCGTATCAGCATTACCTGAATGCAAGTAGGCAAAGCTCTTGTGTAAACAAGCACCTTGACCCCTTATGCTTGTATCTTCTCAAACTGGGAAGTAAACACAGTTTAATTTGGAGCCTGTGAGGGAGGAGCAATAAGGAAGAGCCCTCGAGGTGGCTTTAACTTCCACTAGGTGGCATATCCTCATTTTAGGCTACTGCAGAGAAAAATGTCCTAAAACTGTTGTTTTTCAAGAAGCCCAGTCAAAACTGTCCTGAGGTAAAGAAGAAAATTGTTTTGTGACGGTTAAGTTTGCAGTCAGGCACACTCCCTACAACATGGTAAGTCTCTGTCTGTCCCCCTACACCCTGCAAACGGTGCTGCCAAAAACTCAATCCAATGTTCCATAAAGCTTTCGCTTTCGTCTCCAGCCGGACCATGAAGAGACTATGTATCCTGACTTAATCAAGCCTGCGCTCAATGCAGAGCCATAACAGTGATCTCATCAACCTGTACATGGACGATACCACAAGATCAGCATATTTGACTGCCTCACGTGTCATCCCTAGGGAAGTCATTTTCCTTTAATGCTGCTGGGGTGTGCTGCTCTTGACTGGGTAGAGTTAATTTTTTTCCATAGAATCTTGTATGGGGCTATGTTTTGGATTTGTGCTGGAAACAATGCTGATAACCCAGGGATGTTTTGTTTAGTCCTGAGCAGGGCTGACACAGAGCCAAGGCCTTTTCTGTTCCTCACCCCACCCCACCAGCGAGGGGCTGGGTGGGCACAAGGAGCTGGGAGGGGACACGGCCAGGACAGCTGACCCCAACTGACCCCAGGGCTGTTCCATACCAGATGATGTCACGCTCAGCATATAAAGCTGGGGGAGGAAGGAGGAAAGGGGGGGATGTTCGGAGCGATGGTGTTTGTCTTCCCCAGTCACCGTTACACGTGATGGAGCCCTGCTTTCCTGGGGATGGCTGAGCACCTGCCTGCCCATGGGAAGGAGGGAATGAATTCCTTGCTTTGCTTTACTTGTGAGCACAGCCTTTGCTCTCTCTATTAAACTGTCTGTACCTCAACACAAGAGTTTTCTCATTTTTACCCTTCCAATTCTCTCCCCCATCCCACCAGGGGGGAGTGGGCAAGCGGCTGCGTGGAGCTGAGCTGCCAGCTGAGGTTAAACCACAACATGAGGTCACTGCTACTACTTCTGCACCAAAATAAACACATCCTACCTCATCCCCACGCGCAGTAAGGGGCATAACAGCACAGCAGGGAATGGCTAAAAAGGGATTCCAGATAAGGAAGATGTCAAATATGAAATGCCACGACCGGCTGCTTGCAGCCGAGCACAGACGGTGCTCAGATGTCGCTCAGCACAGGACTCCGCCCGAGCAGAGAAGCTCACAGCGCAAGGCAGCGGCGTGGGGAGAAGCAGGCAGGGACCACGACAGAGAAAGCAGCAGGATCAGCATCTCTGCACAGCATTGCCTGTGCAGCCATGTGAGCCCGGCCCACTGCGCTACGCTACCCACCAGAGCCAGGGCAGAGACTGACTATGAGGATCAGCATGATGTGTGTTTTATCCTGGGTAAAGACTCCTTTCCCTTAGACACGCTTCCTAAGGTGGCTCTGCTTCTCCACCGCAAAAAAGAAGAAATAACTAAATTTATGCTCCGACACAGATTTCCCTTGTCCAAGCCAATACAGCTGTAGCTGGACTCTCCTCGTTCTCTGATGGCACTTTATCTTAGCATGTAGTAAACTGCCTGCACTGAAGAGAAGATGCTGACAGAGTAGGTCTTCCTGCTACACAGAGAAAACCCCTTCTCCAACCCCTTGCCTAGAAACAAAACAGAAATCCTGGCCTGTCATGTTCAGCAAACAGGACATGTTCTATATTATTAAGTTTTAAACAGTCTTACAGCTGAAGCACCCTTGGTTCTTATGCTGAAAATGGACTCATGAGGATCAATCATTCTGTGTCTAAGACAACTTTTAAAAACTTCAAGAAGGTCCAGAACGTACAAAAAACAATGTTCAGAAAGCTTTGTTTTACATTGCAGTGCAAACAGATAAGTTGCGCAAGAATGCTACCATCTGCTGTCAGTAAAAGTGAACTGGTGCTGTTTTCCATTGAGAAAAAGTGGTAGCTTGAATTAAAAATCCTTTCTAATTATCTGCTAGCTTAAATCAGCTTAGGTCTCCAAACAATTCCAGAAAATACATAGATCGTGCCAATGGTATTCCTCAAAGATAGCAAAAAAAGATAGTTAGCAGTATTTACAAAACTATTAGGCAAAGAAAAAAAAAGTAAATTAAGCAGCAATTTCAGCCAACTCCCTTACACAAAGAAGGAGCATAAAGCAGTAGCAAACACTCCCAAGAAGAACACAGAAGATAATCTGGGCTTTAAGTGGCTTAGCACTCTGAACAAGGCATAAAGATAATTCCCAAAGCTGAATATTCAGCCTGAAGTCATTCCCAACCATCCAGTCACCTGGTGTTTCATTCTCTCCTGCACTTCTTGCTTCAGCAAACCACCAGTGAGTGACAAATGGAGGCCAGACTTGATTTTTTAAAATGGCTTATTAACTTTACATTTTACATCTTTCTTCTTTCAGTCCATCTTCTTTTTACAACATGGCACAGTGACACTGAAAACATTCCCAAACTGTAACAATCAGATGTCCATACGAAAAAGCAGAGTGCATTCCTACTCAGTTTTTCAGACAGGTAGCATCTTTGGTCCCACCATACTTGGCGTCAACCTGTGACTTAGGAGCATAGGAGAGGTGAAATCTGTTCACACTCCAAATTCCCTGCAATCTCTCCTCCATTCTTCTCAAACGGGTGGAAAGGCTCTTTCTTTCCCTCTGGATCCAGCAGATGTAAAGGGTTTTGTTACAGGACCCCAGCCATCAGCTTCTGGGTTGATATGAAGACTCTGAGGACGCTTGGTCTTGGTTAGTCAAACCTTCTTCCTAGCTTGTCTCCTTGTTCTTTGAATTATCAAGGGTTGCTTCATACACTTCTTGAAGTAATGGCTGTGCCAGGGTGGTGCAAATCTCACTATAATCCACAGGCTTTTGAATGGCAACAACGAAATGACCCAGGGGTTTAGTCAAACTCACCCTGCTCCTCAGCCAGGCCCTGAGAATGCCATGTGCCCTAAAGCTGTATGTCTGCACATTCGCAAGAGTTGCTCTGGTTTCCATTATTTTTGAAAACTGAGCACTGTCCCTTATTTGTTTACCTCTCATCCAGGAAACTGAAGTTCATTATTACACAGATCCTTCAGCACTGAAAGTCCACAGGCATGATGTCATGCGAAACAGCTGTGTCCAAAGTCGTAGTTTTTCAATGAGCTTGCTGCGTGTATCTTTCTTACCCGAAACAAGAAGCATGAAACTGCAAGAATGCCATGCTGTTTATTCAAAACCTGAAAGATGGGAATATGTCACAGATTGATAGGAAAAACACAAAAGCATGAGACGGTCAAAGAAATTCTGAGCCAAGATCCATTATGCAGGAGCCTCTAAAAAGGGAAAAGGCTGAGGCAGGGAAAAAGAGCTGTTCAGCATCAGGGAAAACACTCCGAGAGCATCAAATCTGATTCAGTCAAATCCTAAATTCCCAATCCTGTACATAATGGCATCCCCATGAGGCTTTAATGTACACTCAAGTTTAAATCACTGACACAGCAGCTCTGAGGAGGAAGTACCGGACAGCTGCCAATAAACATGCAAGAGTTATCAAAGCCCTGAATGATTTCAGAATTGGTTAATGGGCTACAGAGCCTTTTCATTGCCAGGTCACCAGTTCAGATTTGGCCCGAGCTGGCAGTAGCTAGAACTCATTACTGTACAACGGCTGTATATGCAATTGTCAGGTTTTGCACAGTCAAAGTGCCATTAATTAGTGCTCTTGCTGGCAGTCACTGCAGATGAGTCCAGAACTGAAGATGGTGGGTCATCTTGTCACCGTAGGGGGCAGTCCCTGTAGGTCAGCTCTGAAGTCAGGAAAAGCAGGAAAGCCACACCTCTGCTCGTGGCATGCCCTGAGAGAGAGCGTGCACCTGCAGTACCATGAATCCCAGGTCCTTCTCAAACACATGAAAAAAAATGAATGGAAGTTTGTGCTGCGTCAGCCTCATAAACATATTTTCTACCCGCTGCAGTCATCTGGCAGAATGGTGATATTCCACATGCAGTGAAACGTATCCCGAGCAAAGTATCAGGGCAGCAATACTAGCCTTCAGCCAGCCTGATCCATGAGCCAGTTACATGAAAAATATATATAAAGTCCTACTGGCACTTCATGCAAAAAAACCTCCACTTTATATAGTATAAAAGAACCTTCCCACTTTTAGCTTACAATTCATCTTTTTCCAATCAGTCATGTAGCAATGTCTTTTAGAGAGTAATGTGTGACAGTTTCCAGTCAATTCTCACAATTATTCACTGGCATTGTACAGCAAGAACCCATTTGTGGGTTGCCCACAACTCTTCTGGACAGTAATACAGAGACACGGTTTATTTGAAATCAACAGCATTATTTTCTTGTTTCTATCTATGGTCTTGTATCTAGCTACCCATGAGGCAGACTGATAACACCATCTCTTCAGCACCGTATGCTGAAGTCCATCATACATCTGCATATCCCTCTGAGTCTGACCCAACTTTCATGGCAAATAAAATTCTTACAGGCTGCAACTAGCTCCAGTGAATTTGAAAGCTCAAAATGTTGTT